AGAATAATGATACAATTCCAAGGCAAGATACTATTCCTTTAATTTCCAATTACCGAGGGAACCAATTAATATTGATTTTATTCAACTTATCGAGTATTTTTCAAGGGACCGGGAAAAAATGTTCACTAGATAAAACGATGATTTTGTAATTTAGAAAATTAGGAAAGACAAAATTCAGGATGACACGGCAATTTATTTGAGACAAGAATAATGATACAATTCCAAGGCAAGATACTATTCCTTTAACTTCCAATTACCGAGGGAACCAATTAATATTGATTTTATTCAACTTATCGAGTATTTTTCAAGGGACCGGGAAAAAATGTTCATTTATCGAGAGATTCAAATTATCAAAATATATCTATTATTTTTTTATAAGTTTATAGAGAATTGTTTTAACAAATGTTCGTTAGACAAACCTTCACTCTGGTAAAACCCGGGCGAAGCCGGGTATATCCGCTAGTAGATTATAAACACAAGGTAATAAGACCAAATCCAATGATAAGGTACAATTTGGATTATAGATTATAAACACAAGGTAATAAGACCAAATCCAATGATAAGGTACAATTTGGATTATAAACACAAGGTAATAAGACCAAATCCAATGATAAGGTGGTACAATTTGGATTATAGATTATAAACACAAGGTAATAAGACCAAATCCAATGTTAAGGTACAATTTGGATTATAAACACAAGGTAATAAGACCAAATCCAATGATAAAGTACAATTTGGATTATAAACACAAGGTAATAAGACCAAATCCAATGTTAAGGTACAATTTGGATTATAGATTATAAACACAAGGTAATAAGACCAAATCCAAATAAATAAATAGTGTGTGATGTTTCGGTAACAGCATTGTTACCATCTTCAGACAAAATACTGAATGAGAAATTTTACCATAGCATGTTTTAAATATGCATGTTTAGGTTAGGTTCAGGTTAGGTTTGGTTAGGTTAGGTACAGGTTAGGTTTGGTTAGTTTAGGTTAGGTTTAGGTTCGTTTAGGGTTAGGTTTGGTTAGTTTAGGTTAGGTTTGGTTTGGTTAGGTTAGGTTCAGGTTAGGTTTAAGTTCGTTTAGGTTAATGTAATTTATATTAAATTATTAATATTAATTTTGTAATTTTTATTTTTGTATATGCCTATTTATAAATTCAAATATCTGGCACCATTGGAGCGTATTACGCCAGTATTTCTTTGTTTACGTTAGCACTAAAACACAATTAAAAAATTGCTAATATAAAATAATAAAAATAAATATATTGTCAATATAAAGTTTTCACTAGTATTTAAAATATTAATAATTAAATCTTGTTTAAAGAAAGCAATGAACCAATCATAACCTTTGTTTACATCGCACGTCACAGTGACGTCACAACCAATGAGAGGCTTAGTCTCAGATTGGGCTAAATGTCGAAGACTCTCCCCACAAAGGAATCACCCAGCAATTCTCTGTATTCCATCATGAGAGGGCAGTAGACTGTTAGGTGTGTAATTTCATCTTATATTATACTTTTATATTAATCACGAATTGTAGGGAAATCAGGTTTCCAACGTTTTGAGCAATTTTCATGGAAAATATATCCAGAAAAGTCATAAGTTATGTTATGAAATGTTTAATTTTTCCCGCAGTTGGGTATTATTAAAGTATGTTTCTGTTATATTCAAACCCCACCAGCGAGTCCAAGTAACCAAACGGGGGCTCTGGTTAATTTATAAGCGCAAAGTCGAACTGCTTTTCACATGTGTAGACATGTGGTGTACTTACAGTAAAAGCAGTCGCATACTTCTACCCACCATAAAAGAAAATAAAGGACCTAATCCAAATAATTTATTAGTGTGTGACGTTTCGGCAACAGCATTGTCACCAAATTATAGATTTTATTCTTTTGTCTGATGATGGTGACAATGTTGTTGCCGAAATGTCATACACTAATAAATTATTTAGATTAGGTCTTATTTTCTTGTGTTATAATCTATAATCCAAATTGTGCTTTATCATTCTAACCACCATGATTATCATGAGGGGGGTCAGTAAAAGTAGTCATATACTTCTACCCACCATGATTATCACATGTACTAGGGAGAAGCAAAAAAAAAAAAAAGTTTCAGTTATTATTGAATTATTCAGATATCAAAAGTGACTATAGTGAATGGATCTTTAAATTTGCATATTAGCTTTTTGAATAGATTGTTCTATTGTAGTTCAAATTATTTTTGGAGATTTCATTTTGTATTACAATCAAAACCATACCAGCTTTTCAAATATAAAAATCCACCTATTTGAGAAATTTTTAATGCTTATTTTTATAAACATGCACAATTACACACAATTACCCTCTCAATTTATATTTTATATATAGGTTGAAATAATCAATTCAGATATGTCAAATATTGCAATAAATAGGGTGAAAAAAAAAGCCAACAAACTCTTCATCCCAAACACAAGGTAATAAGGCCGAATCCAAATAAATAGTGGGAGATGTTTTGGTAATAGCGTTGTTACCTTCATCAGACAATGTGATAGTATTCAATGAAAGATTATCTGAAGATGGTAACAACACTGTTACCAAAACATCACACACTATTTATTTGGATTTGGTCTTATTACCTTGTGTTTATAATCTATAATCCAAATTGTGTCTTATCATTGGATTTGGTCTTGTTACCTTGTGTTTATAATCTACTAGCGGATGTACCCGGCTTCGCCCGAGGTTTTACCCGAGTAAAGGTTTGTCTAATGAACATTTGTTAAAACAATTCTCTATAAACTTATATAAAAAAAGATATATTTTGATAATTTGAAACTCGTAAATTTGAATCTCTCGATAAAGTGAACATTTTTTCCCGGTCCCTGTGTGCCGTGTCATCCTGAATTTTGTCTTTCCTAATTTTCTACTTTACAAAATCATCATTTTATCTAGTGAACATTTTTTCCCGGTCCCTTGAAAAATACTCGATAAGTTGAATAAAATCAATATTAATTGGTTCCCTCGGTAATTGGAAGTTAAAGGAATAGTATCTTCGCCTTGGAATTGTATCATTATTCTTGTCTCAAATAAATTGCCGTGTCATCCTGAGATAATCTTACTTTTGATAAATAATCTTTAAGATAATAAACTTGGTGATAATAAAACTTCTAGATGAAAAACTTGTCATCATCGTCGCAATGGTGGCGCTGCTTGTGAGTTAAATCTACAAATCTGCAAATAACTCTAAGGATATTCAAGATATTCAAGAAATTATTTTTCAAAACCCTTCCCGGGGATATACCTAATAATATCCCAAAATTTCACGGCGATTGGATGTATGGTTTTTGAATCTATAGAGTACACACAGACAGACATTCAATTTTATATATATATAGATAATCCAAATTGTACCTTTTTGTTTTAACCAAATCAATAAATTGTGTCACAGGTATACAGCGTTGTTGCCATCTTCAGACAAAAGTACTGAAAGAGAAAAATATGGCAGCAATATCAGCCCCAAAACAGGATGGATTGGATTCACAATGCCTTCTCAAGACTGCTGGAGCCTTCTTGAATCTTCTGTAAAGACAAGAAAGAAGATCAGAGATTAAGGTAGATAATGGTAAACATGAAGAGATAACAGGTAAGTACAGTCCTATCTCTATACCATCTATGTGGTGTGATACTGTTTAGAGATGTACTGACAGGTTTAACTGTATATATATATATTTTTTTGCTTATCCCCAGTACATGTAGTACAGGCCAAGATAATCATGGTAGGTAGAAGTTGGCAACTGCTTTTACTGTATGTTCACCGCATGTATATATGTGAAAAGCAGTTAGACTTTTACACTTACAAATGTACCAGAGCCCTGTTTGGTTAATTGCACTCGCTGGTGGGGTTGGATTTTTGCAAGAATCGGGGGCCATTGGAGCATTTTTTTTTTTAAATCGGGGGAAAAAAAGTGCCCAATGCGGGAATCGAACCCGGGTTGTAGCAGTCGAAAACCAACAGTGTATACCATCCTTCCACCAACCCTCCATGATTTCATATGATGATTTATTATCTTTTTTTTTTAGAAGAAAAATTATGTAAATATGTAAATATGCGATTTTAAAATAATTGTAAAGGTTTGAACATGATGTATCAGTTTTGAAAAATAGAGCAATCCATAAATAAACTTTAATTAAAAAGATATATTGGATCAAAATATCATTTATTTTACCAATATTTCAGTTGGATGAACGCCAACCTTTATCAAGGTATTATAACATATTTATGTGTGTTAACCTTTGACATTAATATGTTATAACACCTTGATAACGGTTGGCGTTCAGCCAACTGAAATATTGGTAAAATAAATGTTATTTTGATCCAATATATGTATTTTTATTTAAATACAGTTAAACCTGTCTATAGCGCCCCCTCTAAATAGCGCCTTCCTCTCTAAAGCGCCCAATTTTAAACATTAAAATGTAAACATTTTACATTAAAAGTGACCTCTCTATAGCACCCTATTTTGGTGAGTCCCTAGAGGGCGTGCTATAGACAGGTTTAACTATCAATAAGTATAATATGTTTCTTTATTAAGATAAAAATGGCAAGCTTTCAATGGCTGTTGTTCATTTGTTAGCGTAGTTTTAACGCCTCCAGAATGTCTTTAAGTACGGCCGAATGCTAGAACCTGATGGTGCAAATTACCACTGGGCCTCTGGTTGATTTAAAAGGTGAAAACTCACCGTCAGGTTGGCCATAATAAGATCCATTAGGTATTTCCCTGTGGATTCCATTGACTGAGGCAGTTTCAATTTTCTCAGTTCATTGCCCCTATTATGTTCCCGGCCGTTGTTCCTTGGATATTGTAATTTCAATGCTTCTAGTACGTCTTCAAGTGCGGCCGAATATTCTAACCTGCACCTGATTGTGCAAATTCCCACAGTGTCTCTCATCTGCCGTCCCGTGGGCCGTAATGAGATCCATTAGGTATTTCCCTGTGGATTCCATTGACTGAGGCAGTTTCAATTTTCTCAGTTCATTGCCCCTATTATGTTCCCGGCCGTTGTTCCTTGGATATTGTAATTTCAATGCCTCTAGTACGTCTTCAAGTGCGGCAGAATATTCTAACCTGCACCTGATTGTGCAAATTCCCACAGTGTCTCTCATCTGCCGTCCCGTGGGCCGTATTGAGATCCATTGGGTATTTCCCTGTGGATTCCATTGACTGAGGCAGTTTCAATTTTCTCAGTTCATTGCCCCTATTATGTTCCCGGCTGTTGTTCCTTGGATATTGTAATTTCAATGCCTCTAGTACGTCTTCAAGTGCGGCCGAATATTCCAACCTGCAACTGATGTTGCCTTTGCCCACAGTCTCTGGTTGATTTAAAAGGTAAAAACTCACCTGCCGTCGCGTTGGCCGTAATGAGATCTATTAGGTATTCCCCCTGTGGATTCCATCAACTGCAGTTATATTTTTCTCAGTTCGTTGCCCGTATTACTTTCCCGGCCGTTGTTCATTCGTTAGCTTAGTTTTAACAGCGGCCAGCCAATGAAAATGAGCGGCCGTCAAGCCACATGACCCAGCGGTGACGTCGCGTGATTAATCGACCAATCAGAGATCGGCGTCCAATTTCAACCATGCTCTCTAGTTCTTGGGTAACTAGAGACAGCCCTGTTGAAATTCGTCCGTTTGAAAATGGCAGACCAAAGTGTTTGACCTCACACGCACCAAGTGCATACACGCAGAAACTGGTAACAGTACTATCATGCAATTAAGAGGAACCCGAGTCAGAGACTTCCTCTGATTCCCCCTCGCGGATCCGCGGTTTCAATCTGTCATTAGCCAGGAGAAAATCAACACAGGCCTGCCAGGTTAATTTACTGTGGATGAAGTCGCGGAGCGATCTTGGCGTATGACCAAGTTCCTTTCCAGCAATAAATAACAGGCGAGTTCTAAGGGAATCGAGACTGTCACACTCGAGCAAATTATGTTCAAGAGTTTCCTCCGCCCCAGAGTCGCAGTAGAGGCAGGTGGGATCATCAATAAATCCCATTTTGTGGGAAAAGCTGTCTGTCCAAGTGTGTCCGGACAGCAGACCTACAACGACGTGCATGCTGGGAATGATGAACGCAAACTTTTTGTCTAAGAGACTCATTGGAGTGAGGCCAAAGCGGGTGCAGATGGGGCGAGAGGTGGTGTCGAATCTGCTCTGCCAAGCCGCCCACGCCTGTTTGCGTGCTGTGGATTCAAGTTTTGACAGCGGCGCGAGGCAGTAGCAGCTCGGGAGATCAGACCCAGCTCCATCCTTCGCGAGCACATCTGCAACGTCGTTGCCGACGATTCCGCTATGCCCTTTGATCCAGCGTATGGAGCATCTATTCCCATTGCGGTTCAGTTGTGAAATCAACAACAAGGCCCTGTTAATCAGGAAGTTGCCTGTCCTGCAGTTGAGGACTGAGTTCACAACCGAAAGATTGTCCAGGAGAACCTCAATTATGGTATTAATGGGGAGCTCTGAAGCGTTCTCAAGTGCTTTGATCAAACCAAATGCTTCGGCTTGGAAGACAGAACAGTAACATGACAAAACATAACAGATACGCAATTCATGCAGGTTGTCATTCACACACACTCTATAAATCTGCGCCAACTCCATCATTGGTCTTGGAGCCGTCTGTATAGTAGGTGACCTCGGGTGGTAGTTCAGGAATATTACTGGGAAGGAAAAAGAAAGGTGGATACGGCAGAGGTTGAGGAGAGGGAGGAGTTTCAACCGGAAATTCAGCATCCACGTAACCATATTTTTTAAGATACAGTTCCGTTTTGACACCAATTTCTAGGTCAAGGGGAGAACACAAGATAAGGAGATAAGGGAGGAGTTGTTAGTTGTTTTAAAAGCACGGCAAGCTAAGACATGAAAGGACGTTGCGTACTTAGTAAGAGTTTTTTGGAGCATTCAGAAAGATTGGGAAACCATACTGGGGAGGCGTAAGCCACCACGGGAATAACAACCTGCAAGTACAGCATTCTCAAGGCTCGGAATCCAAAACCAAAGTTGAAATTAGCGGCTGCTGACAGGCGCGGTAGCATGCCGCGGACTTTGGAGCACACTTCAGTAACGTGCTGGTGGAAAGTCAAACGGCTGTCGAACCTCACACCAAGCACCCTAATGGAGTCGCTCCATTGGACGACCTGGCCATTGCGGGGTTTTTGAACAAACATAGCCTGGCATTTATTCACACTGAGCTCAAGTTTATGTAATCCACACCAATTGGTGATCAGATCAATGGCGGGTTGTGCCTTAGACTGTTGACCATGCCTCAATCCCGAGATCACAACAACCAGGTCATCTGCGTAGGCCTGTGGATATACACATTTCTTGTACCCCAGTGTGAGTAATTCATCAAAGACGATATTCCAAAGGAAGGGCCCGAGAACTGAACCTTGTGGATATCCTTTGGAGACGCGTCTAGTGACAGTGGATCCATTTACATACAGTCTGACAGAGCGATGGTCCAGGAACGAGCGAATTAAATCGTGGACGTTCTTAAGACAATCGCTTTTACGCAGGGCCCGCAATATGCTAGAGTGTAGCACATTATCAAAGGCACCTTTGACATCAAAAGAGAGAAGAATAGCAGTTTAATGTAAGTTTAGCGACCAGGAGAGGAAATTTTTTAATTTTATGAGTGCGGCGATGGTTGATTTACAGGGCCTGAAACCGAACTGGTTTGGCTGGGCTTTACACATTCTCTCAGCCCTCCACGATAACCTAGTCAGGATTAGACGCTCGAGAATTTTACCTAGACTAGGCAACATCGTGATGGGCCTATGAGACGCGAGAAAGTCCTCACCACCTTTTTTGGGGATCAAAACTACATCGCCCAATTTCCAGGGAGTTGGAAAATGTCCAGTTTCAAGACACCTGTTAAAAATTTTCAGAAAAAACGTCCGGAATTTTCTAATCAGTTTAACACAAACAACAGGTGGCATGCCATCACTACCAGGGGAAGAAGATAAGCGAACCTTATCCGCGGCCAGCTGCAGCTCAGCTTCTGAGAACAGAGGATCGTTATCAGAAGTAGACTGCATGGCTCTATGTAAATTATTATGCCCTACCATGGAATCGGGCGGGACTCGGCCGAAATAATGCTGTAATACGTGGTCTAAGGTCTCCCGCTGACTAACAGTGAAGCCGGCGCCGACCGCGAGGGAGGAGAGAGGTTTTTTCTTTTGCTTTCCTCTGATGAATTGATAAACACCGCCCCAAGGGTTGACTTCGCACTGCGAGCAGACTCTTCTCCACTCCTCCTGCTTAGCTTTTCTGATCGCAGCACGAAATCTGTTATAAAGCTTTTTGTGAAAGACCTTTAACACACTTCTGACGGCCCCGCGAGCGCGTCTCCACGCACGCTCGGCCTTCAGAGTGGCCCTTTGGAGCAGATTTAATTCCAGTTTCCACCAAGATGCATTTTTTATTTTGCAAGGTTTATTTGGCTTGGAAGGAATGGTCTGTATGCATGAATGAAACACCTCGTCACTAAGTAATGTAATAACATTATCTAGTTGAGATGTGTCACTCCTCATGTTCTGGTTGATCGCGTTCCAATCAGCGATCCTGTCCACGAGCCGCCTTCTGCCACCTATGTTCAGAATAAAACTAAACATACTCCCCTCCTGTGGACGTAGTACACACACAAGGCAAAAGAAAAGGATCACATAGTGTAGAAAGTTTTTTTTTTTTGAAGAAGAAGAATTAGAATGGCAGAAGTGCAATCTTCGAGATGGGTCTTATTAGATGATGTTGTTTCTCTGTTTGAAGTTCCACAACTCGGACATTGCCATCCGCTCCAGGTGACACCTTGGTGATGCGGCCAAGGCTCCACTGCATTGAAGGCATAGGAATGTCTTTCTTTTTTCATGACAAACTTCTTTTGGAAGTTCATATGTGATTGGTAGCGGATCTTGTAAACTTGAGTTTGATAGCCAATCAGGACCATTCCACCAAAGTGAATGGTTTACTAGTTCTGAAGAAGTTATACCTCTGGAGGCGCAATCTGCAGGATTATCCTTGGTAGACACATAGTACCAAGAAGATTGCAGAGTTAGTCGCTGAATTTCTGCAATCCGGTTACCAACAAAAGGTTTCCAATGTTTTGATTAAGATTTTATCGAACATAAAACAATCTGGGAATCTGTCCACAAAATTACTCATCAATCTGCAACAGAAATGAGCTGCAAATGGAATCATATAAATTTGAAAGGAGAAGAGCAGCTCAAAGCTCCAGACGAGGTATTGACGTTGCCTTCAAGGGATAGACTTTTGTCTTGGCAGCAATCAATGTGACTTGAACATGACCAGATTTATGGCGTTCTGACGTGAGTCTCCGAGATTAGGCACAGGTTTAAACGGTAGACCAACAGAATATCTTCCATCTGTTGATATGCAAAAGTTCTTGTCATAAATGTCCCCGCAACTCTTCTCCTCTTTAGTCAATGGAAGAGCGGCAGGAACCGATTCCAATTCAAAAAACTTTCGCAGATTATCATCTCCTTGGGATGTTGAGCATAATGAGATATAGTTGTTTCCAGTCTCAGAACTGGAAACATTTCCTGAAAGTATCCATCCTAACTTGGAACTACAGGCAGTGGGTCCTGGATAATTTTGGAATCGTAGTTTTCCTGTATATAAAAATGGGGCTAGGTCTGCACCAATTACTAAATCAATGGGACTTGTTTTTATCAAAATTGGGATCTGCTAATAAAGTATTCTTAAGATGAGGCCAATTATCTTTATCAGAAAATTAGGTAAATCAACAGTGATTTGATCGAGTATTATGGATGAAATTTTGAATATTCTATCAGAAAAATGAGGCTTAAATTGAAGAAAAGTCTCACTAGCAGACTGCTGTATTGGTTGGTTACCAATTCCAAAAACTGTGAGTTGGCTCTTTTTAACAGGAAGATTCAACTTTTCACGACAAGGTTCTGTTATTAGACTTCTTTGAGAACCAGTATCAATCAAAGCTCTGTAGGAAATGTATTAGAAAGATATCAACAAGTGTATTTTCTCCAAACCCAGTGATTTCAAATTTCTCATGGCTTCATTACATATATCTAGTAGTTCGAAAATGGCCTTGGAATTTATTAGTTTTAAAGGTTTTAAAGTGAATAATTTTGTACATTGTGAAAAGGCAAGTTCTTTTTTGTTATCATATCTGGAGACCAATGTGGCCCAAGCATGGGCATAGTTTTCATCAATAACAGGAAATCCCCATATAAGTCGTTCAGCGTCTCCAGTAACAGCTGATTGTAAATATTGCAGCTTTTGTGAATCAATTAGAGTGGTATTAGAATCAATAGACAGAGAAAACAATTGCTTGAAACTAAGCCATTCGTTAATATCACCAGAAAAGGAAGATAAATTAAATTTAGGAAGTTCTATTTTACTTGTGGTTGATTGATTTAGATCATCAATTTTGCTTGAAATGGCTGTACAAGATACTTTATTGATATTCACCACTAAATTTCTAAGATTATCATTGTATTGCATAACTCTAGAAAAGTAAACTTCATCATCAAATTCAGAAAATGTTAAAAGATTACAATAAGTTTTTTCAATGTTAGATTTCATATCTAAAATATCTTGTTTAAATGTCTGTAAATTTGCATCATCCTTCGATTCAATTATCTTGAGCGAAATTTGTTCAAAATAATCCACTTGTTTGAAATGAAATTCAAGAATATTTAAAGTAGCTTTAAATTTGGCAGCCATCTTTAATTTTTGCTATTATTAATTTTAATAATATATTTCAAAAATGAATTATAATTATTTATATTTAAATAATTATTTAATAGATTTATTCCCGGGTTTCGGCACCATATGTTGTTTCCCACTTGGCAAATACGCAAGGAGGAAAAGCAGAATGAATTTTAACAAAACAATTTGTTCTCGTTTGGCCTTTATTGAATAGAATGTTTTATAATAGCTTAAAGAAACAAATGTACTTATCTTTGGTCAGGCAATTCTCCCAAGCCTTACAAATGAATTTAAAATTTTATTTTAATTTTCTTTACAATAAATATTTAAAGAATTTACAAAAGATTTAATGTATTTACAAAAGATTTAAAGCCGCAGCTTAAAGGCCTTGTTTTTTAGTGGCGACTATGCTAAGAATGAGAAGGTGGAGAGGCTCCCTCTGGCGGTGCAGCCAGATGGCCTCCCATTGGTCAGCGATGACGTAGCTCCTTTTTCTTTCACCGCCGCGCGCCGCCTTCTGCCACCTATGTTCAGAATAAAACTAAACATAGGCGAAAGATAAACATTACATAGAAGGATGGACAAGTTGTTAATTTCACACAGGACAAATGGGACAAATGGATGAACTTCAGGCTTGGATTTGCCATTATCACCGCCGCTCCCAGTTTGCTATCAGTAATAGGACCATGACAGATTCTGTCTGAGGGCACAGGAATAGATGGTAAACTGCCTTTAGCAACTGGGAGTTCTTGTAATAACAGCACATCTGTTTTTTCATTGAAACATTCATTCCACAAGGAGGACAAACACCGAGGGGAGCGTCTTACATTTGCCTGAACACACCTGAGCACGTTCATTGCACCATTAATCTATTGAAATTCTCCTGGGCGTCCCGCATGTGCTTACACGCCATTGAGTTTGCGCTGTGCTTGCCACCACACCTGTGGCATTTCAGCACAGCCTTGTTGTCACAGGCCTCGGACAGATGTGCACCAGTGCAGTGGCCGCATTTGGCCGCCCTGGTACACTTCTTACCGTTGGTGTGGGTCCTGTGACTTAGGCTGCCACAGACACCGCAGGGAAAGACGCGCTTAGCCCTTGCGAGTCTCAGGGAGAGGTAGTCTATTGTGATCCTACCGCGCTCGAGTAGAGCAGTCTCAACGTCCTTATTTACCTCTACTATCGCGGTGGAGGAAGATCCCTCTTTTCTAATCAGTTTTACCATCCTGATGTCGTCGCCACTTTTCAGCAGCTTTTCGACAGCGGGATGGCATCTGATGTCAGCCACAAGCTGCTCCTCAGTTTTCTCTCCAGGAATACCGAAGATAGCAAGCCTGGGCTTGAATGTAGGGTTCGTTTGGACTTTAAGGCCGCCAATTTTGGCGGTCTTGACGTTGTCAACAAACCTCTTTTTTTCAGAGGGATTTGTGAAGTGGAGGACCAGTTTTTTGTCCCCACCAGTCACAGCGGCAACATCCAGGTTCTTCAAACTGGGAGTCTGAGCGATTTTCACCCTTAGCTCCTTGACAGAGAGATCAGTGGAGGCCAACTTTATGTGGTTGGCACTGTTACGCAGAGTCTGCGCGTAGCTGGGACGAGAAGGCTTGGTCAGCTTAGCATTGACATTGACTGGCGGCGTGGTTTTCGTCACCGAGGAGGATTTGGGAGCTGAATTGGCAGCGGGTTTGGCTGCGGGAATGGAGATAGCCGCGGGAGCGGGAATAGCGGCGGTAGCGGCCTTAAGCTTTTTTTCGTAATCCACACGGAGTTCCTCCGTTTTTAGATCGCAAGTCTTAAGCTTATCGGACATTATCCCAAACACTGTGTTGGAGACTCTTCAACAAGACATCAATTTGACAGAACATGGTACGGTATTCTGCAGAACCTAGTTCCTTTTTCAGGACTGAATCTATTTTCCCATAGACCACTGAGAGACAGTCAGAGAAGCTGGAACGAATCTCTTCCCACCCTTTCCTAAACGCCTGATTGGAGTAAAGAGGCACTATAGGAGTAGGAGGAGAGGGAGACACCCGGGGAAACTCACCATTTGGCGGGAATGCTGTGGTTACAGGCCTGGCCCCGCTGCCAAGAGGGTCCATCAACTGAGCGTCGCTTTTTTTATGCATTGCTGCATCCAGCCAGAGGGGTGTCCATCATGCCAGGGACAGGTCCAATCGGGGGAGGATCCGAGGAGCCATTTGGTGGGAATGCTGTGGTTACAGGCCTGGCCCCGCTGCCCGGAGGGTCCGTCGACTGAGCGTCGCTTTTTTATGCTTTGATGCATTGCTGCATCCAGCCAGAGGGGTGTCCATCATACTAGGGACAGGTCCAATCGGGGGAGGAGCCATTTGGCGGGAATGCTGTGGTTACAGGCCTGGCCCTGCTGCCAGGAGGGTCCGTCGACTGAGCGTCGCTTTTTTTATGCTTTGATGCATTGCTGCATCCAGCCAGAGGGGTGTCCATCATACTAGGGACAGGTCCAATCGGGGGAGGAGCCATTTGGCGGGAATGCTGTGGTTACAGGCCTGGCCCCGCTGCCAGGAGGGTCCGTCGACTGAGCGTCGCTTTTTTTATGCTTTGATGCATTGCTGCATCCAGCCAGAGGGGTGTCCATCATGCCAGGGACAGGTCCAATCGGGGGAGGATCCGAGGAGCCATTTGGCGGGAATGCTGTGGTTACAGGCCTGGCCCTGCTGCCAGGAGGGTCCGTCTACTGAGCGTCGCTTTTTTTATGCTCTGATGCATTGCTGCATCCAGCCAGAGGGGTGTCCATCATGCCAGGGACAGGTCCAATCGGGGGAGGATCCGAGGAGCCATTTGGCGGGAATGCTGTGGTTACAGGCCTGGCCCCGCTGCCAGGAGGGTCCGTCTAATGAGCGTCGCTTTTTTTATGCTTTGATGCATTGCTGCATCCAGCCAGAGGGGTGTCCATCATGCCAGGGACAGGTCCAATCGGGGGAGGATCCGAGGAGCCATTTGGCGGGAATGCTGTGGTTACAGGCCTGGCCCCGCTGCCAGGAGGGTCCGTCTACTGAGCGTCGCTTTTTTTATGCTTTGATGCATTGCTGCATCCAGCCAGAGGGGTGTCCATCATACTAGGGACAGGTCCAATCGGGGGAGGAGCCATTTGGCGGGAATGCTGTGGTTACAGGCCTGGCCCCGCTGCCAGGAGGGTCCGTCGACCGAGCGTTGCTTTTTTATGCTTTGATGCATTGCTGCATCCAGCCAGAGGGGTGTCCATCATTCTAGAGACAGGTCCAATCGGGGGAGGATCCGAGGGGCTTTCTTTTAAAGTTCTTGCATTTATTTATTCTTGTCTTCCTCTTAGGTCGTGATCTGCAGTCTTCGTCGATTTTAACGAACGTTTGAATTAGCGTCGTAGGTAATGAGAAAAAATATCACAGCAAGTTCTTATATAGTACTGTTATCAAGTGTTTACACAAGATAACAGATAAAGAAAATAGTTTTTTTAAGTCAACTTGAAATATTCTTAGAATTAAAAGTGGATTTTTTTAAAAAATATAATTAAAGGCATATCTGTAAATATCATCTATATTTCCCCTTTCTTCCATTCTATTGATTGAAGCACATGTCTTTTGGATGAAAAAAGCTTCTTTGAACTGTCTTTTGTAATAATTTTTTTCATAATCCAGAGTTCTTGGGTTTTCTAAATTGAATTTATTGTGTCCTGTGTCCCTTCTGTGTTCTACAAGAGCAGAATTTTGAATTCTATCCCACTTCAGAGCATATTTATGGTTTTCCATCCTTTCTTTTAATGTTCTGGATGTCTGTCCCACATAGCTTTGGTCACACTTCTCACACTTAACTTCATAGATCAAACCTGCTCTTTCTGTTAATTGGGTGTTCTTGTGCTTGTTTAGGTATTGTGAGATAGTATTACATGGTTTCCATGCAATTTTTATTTTTTCATATTTTTTAAATATATTGGTGAAATTTCTTGCAAACCTTTGGTTTATATATGGCAGTCTTATAAATCTGGTTTCTTGGTTTTTGCACTTAAGATTCTGAATCAAAGTATTATTTTCATACTTTTCACTCATATCTTCTATTATTTTGTCTATCAATTTAATAGGAAAATCTTCCTTGATTAGGTCCTCCTTGATGCTGTTAACCTCTTCATTTCTCTTAACCACATCATCGATGAGTGCAAAAGTCCTATATACACAGTCTAGCCATAAATTCTGTTACAAACAATTTTATAAATTAAATGATTAAGAACAAAAACTAATGGAATATAAATACATATTTTATTACCCAATAGGACATAGATTTTAAATATATACAATCATTCAAAATGTCCTCCCTTATTTTTGACACAGGATCTCAAACGTTCGGGCCACTGATCTATGGCGGCACACACCTTTTCTAAGGGTATTTCTTTCATTGCTCTCACCAATGCTGATTTCAATTGATCATAATTATGATATCTTTTAGAGCACACATATACCCATAAACTGTAATCAAGAGGGTTTAAATCAGGGCTTCCAGAGGGCCATTCATTGGCCTTTATGAACTCCCGAACATTCGTCTCCAACCATTGTTGAGTTGACTTAGCTTTGTGAGCAGGAGCTGAATCTTGTTGAAATATCCAATGTTCTCCATTAAACATTTTTGTATTCAGAGGCTTTACTATTTGTTCCAAAATATCTTCTTGATAGTTTTGAGCTGTAGTTTTTACCCCTTTGGCACAGAAGTGGAGATCTGTTACACCTTGGTAGCTAACTCCCCACCAAACCATGACAGAACAAGGATGGTGACTTTTTTCAAGTCTTCTGACTTTCAAAGAAGCTTCTAGAGAGCTACGAGCATATACCCTATCATTCTGACGATTAATCTTTTCCTCGACAGTGAACATATTCTCGTCTAATATCCTTAAGAGCAGGGGTTATCAAATGACCTGTGCGTCGTTTGAAAGCTCTCAGTCTGATGAGATCGAGAGCATTTCATAAATTTTTTAGTATAATGGAAGAAGATACTCATTGTTAAAAACAATGTTGATTTTATACTTTTACTATTTCCAGATCTCTACATGTCCAAATATTAGGGCGCCAGTGGCTGCAGAAAAGCAGACCACAAATTTATTCATCTATGGCACATGTAGAGACCTAAAGC